ACGTGTTTTACACTATATATACTATATATATATATATATATATATATATATATATATAGAGGTAGTATATAAAAATCATACGAGAAGAATGTTTTTAAAGGTCAAAAAGTAAAAAAGAAAAAAAGTTAGATTCGTATAACGATAAAAAGGGGTAATCACAAATGATTAAGTAAGCCTTGTGATCAACCATTCGATTGGTCATTTGACTAAACCTGATAGCTAGATTTTTATTTATTATTTGTTTTGTTTTATAGAGTCACGAGATTATCTTTTGACAATTAATATTTTATTTCTGATTTGATTTTTGATATCGATATCAACCGCTAAAAATAATGACAAAAATAATGGTGCATTGTTATGACGTGAGTCGATTTTAAAGTATTTTAAACCGAAAACCAGAAAACTGCTTATAAATCGTAGTCATCTGCTTGAAGACGTATCAAGAAATTGAACTATCTTTTTTATAGTAAAAAAGAGATACCAAAAAGAGCAATTTCCCGGAATTAAAAACATACGTCTATAAAATTTTTACGACACGTGTTTTAAACTAAATCTCCACACACTGAAAGTGTTACGTATGCATCTAGATGTCGACGACGACGACGACGACGACGATGATGATGATGATGATAATAAAGAAAGTAATGACGGACATGCGCGTATTCCACACATCTTTAAGATTTCTCTCTATAGAATACAAATAAAATACTATGGGTTATTTTTTATTGTTATTGTTATGATCCATAGAATTTAATAATAGAATATTGATAATAATTGATAATTCTAATAATTGATGAAAGGGCGTAAATTATAAATGACTCGAGGTCCTTTGTTCTCTGAAGCAGCACCATCGACACCGACATCTTTTTGCTGGGGACCTGGAAAGTGGCTGAAAAAGTGTTAAGCACTCATTGCTTATTTTGTCGTTGCTGCTGCTTTATTATATTGTCTCTTTACCGAAATATTTTGTATCATCTATGTTGTGTGTGTGTCAAGTATGTGCATGCGCGTGCAATTCAAAGGCTTTTTCACAAAAAAATATAAAAGTTCGATACTTTTTTTTGTGCGTTTTTTTTTTGTGTTGTTCTCCTTTAAGGAAAATATATCTTACGGAGCGATGATAAGATTTGCTTTACATGTCGTTTTATGATTCATTCATCAAACAGTTGCGTACTGCGCAAAAATCCCAGATTGTCACTTTTTTATTGTTAAAAGATACAATATTATTTCAAAATGATTATTCTTTTATTTAGTTGCATCATTCTTCTAATCCAGATCTGATCGATCAACTAAATATCAAATTTGGCTCTTGAATATACATGTGACAAGATGAATCTTCAGCTTGAAAGAGGTTTTTACTCAGGAAGATGAAAAAAGCACCATTCCGTGTGTCCGTGTGCTCGGTTCTTATGTGTGTGTCTGTATATAGTAATGTTGTATATGAATGTATATGAATGTATATGAATGTATATAAATACGAATGTTAGGATATAATTTGGTTAGGTAAACGCAGCAAATATAAGCATATAATATGTTTTATATATGCATGTAGCTATAAGGCTATTTTTTTATTTGTTTGTTTTTATCAAAAAGAATCAAAAGAAGGAAGGACTCCAAATTTTGAAAATTTTGGCGGTTTTTTTAATGTGTGATATTCCAGATATGTCATGATTTTTCACGCTCTATTGTGTTCTAATAATAATAATAAGGGTATTATTATATTCGTGTTTGTTCTGTTATCATATCTAATCAAAATCAAATAAAAAAAAGACAATGCACTTTTTAACGTTCACTATTTATAATCACGAAAGAGCCGAAATGATAACCGTAGATAGAATTCAATCCTTCCAAAGAATCCTTTCGGCTCGTTGACTATTTATTCTTTCTTGGAAGATACGCTTTTTTTATTATTCTTGGCTTTGCGATTAATCTTTTAGTAAATAAATCGATTTATACTATTTTCCGAATTCAATGGAGTTAATTTACCGTAAACCTAGTCGTACTAACCGATGATTAGTAACAAAATAAGTTGTGATTGACAAACAATAACATACCTTAATTTTATTTACTATAGTTTAATTAAGAATTATTTCCAAAAAAAGCAACCCAAAAAGGTAAAAAAAGAATTGATGATAATACCATACGCCACCCCACCCAACCATCACTCCTGGTTTTATTTTAAAACTAACTAACTCGGAGTTTTCACGCGCCTCTTTGTTTCTTCACCACCTCCGCCTCTTTGTCAACCACTTAACGTTTAAATTATGCACGCGCGTACTATTAATAATACCATCGATTCAAACAAAAAAAAAAATGCTTAAATGCTCAACTCGATTCAGTTGTCTTTCAATACTAAAAATAGAAAAAAGAAAATATGTATGCACATGTAATTAATGAAAATTTTCTCTTCATGTGGCTTTCTACTTTGCCACCGCTACTATTATACTTGGTATCAACACAATAGAATTGAGATCACAATAAACACAGAAATGCCGATTATCAAACATCATACCCTAAATGCCGGGTGCGGGTGATAGATATGTCACGAACGACAAACATCAAAATCATCTTTACGATCAATAAGTTGAAAAAAAAAGTAGCATCTGTGTACCAATGCCTGTTTCATTTTACCTATCATTCAAACTAAGCCTAGTAGTACCTTCTTTATCGATAACTAGATAATGAGACATCTCCGTGATTATTACCGGGATAATATTAAATTTTTGAAATGTTCGTAAAATTTGTCGAAACGAAGTTTTATTTTGACATTAGGACACTTTATATAGTAATTATATATTCCCGTCCATAAAAAATCAATGAAGATAACAACATATATAATAAATAATAATGTAACACTGTAATAATATATATATATATATATAATATTACATTTTATGATAGTAATATAAAATAAATGACACAGAATAAAATAATAATACTAAATACTCGACTAAAAGAAAGAAGATGAGAGTGAGAGAGAACGAGAGCACGTATCATCATCTATTTCATGTATCATCGTGTAAGCATGACCATGGTCATCAAGGGTTACCGCACGCGCGCGTAGCCTATTAGAACAGCTGCTCACGTCTATTTCTGTATTTCACTCATTTTGTTTCCTTATATCTCTATGTTAAACTTACCGTTTTAATAGCTTCCAATAGTTACCTCCTCGCAACCCCGCTCGACCGTTTGCCGGATTTCTTATCTTAATCTCTCTGGCGAATTTCCTTTTAAATAGATTGATAATATAATCGTTCCACGTCATTGTAATTATTATAATTGTAATATTGTCAATAATTTAAATGATTCTTTATTTATTTCTTATTATGCAAAGTAACCCGCAGAGATGAAGTCAGAGCCAGCGGCGAACTGACTGAGAACAGCAACAGCAAAATAAAAATTAAAGTAATTATTGACAATAAATAAGAAAAAATAAATTTTCATAACACAGCCGTGTGCCTATTGACAATGAAATATCATCTTTCTTCTTCGTCTTCTTATTCTTTGACATCATCATCAGCATCATCATCATCATCATCATCATCTCTCTCTCTTATCCTAATAATAAAATCAAACAATATCATGCTAAAGCGAGCACAGCACATAAATGATAACTAATATAGCGAAAAGAAGAGAGAGACGTTGAAATTTTGGGTCGTTTTAACCGGTTTTCTTTATTTGTTATCATTATTATTTCAATCCTCTTCCTCCGAGTCGCTTCCATTCATGAATATGTTCACGACAATAGACATTACAAGCAACGAAAAGTTCTCATTTAGCGCTATAGGTTTGAGAACATAGACGAAAGGAATGAGAATACATAAATTTTCCCGTCATCATAACCCATCATAATTACCGTATAATCAATCATCCAATCCCATCCCATCTATCCATCGTTTTTTAAGCATCCATACTTCAATTTTCTCATTATCTATATTTATTTATAATATAAATAAATATACATTACTGCCTACTATTAATAATAAATAATCAGTCCGAGTGTTTAACTATATCTGATATATAAATATAAATTCCCTAATTTTTTTACGATTTCCGAAAACTCTCACACAAATATAATGTATTGGACACAATATATATATTATAAACTATAAATATATTATTATTATTATTATTATTATACAGCATTATATAATATACATATATAAAAGTAAGCCTTTATTCCATTTCTTTGTATAATAAAACTAATACTAATAATAAAGAATAATAAATAATTATCTATACATATAAAATATTATATATTTAAATTACAATCAGTCTTCCTTCTCTCTGTTTTCCTCTGACTTTGCTCTCCTATATAAACATAACACACGGAATAAATCAAATTATTTGACCAATATTAAAATTATTATTATTATTATTAATAATAATAATTTTTTTTACGCACTCACACAAGACAATTTTTTTTTAACGTTTATCTTTTCGGGTTGAAAAACATCTTTCAACTTTTGTCATTCATCTTCCATTAAATACTACCTTCATCTCACACCATTGTATTTTCGAGATTCAACAGATTTTCTCTTCTTGCTTATATCGACAGAACAAGATTCTCATTTTCGTCGTTTCTTTTTATTTTTCTCATTCATTAACCACCCCCAAGAAACCACATAGCATATTACCAGAATATTTTTTTTTCTGGTAACCTATAATAATAAATTTCGAATCTTGTACTCTTAATTCATTCTATTCTCAAATAAAGCTGGCTCCATTTCATCAACATTCGCTTCATTTCGAGTTGCTCGGGCAACAAGACGTTAATTCCCTTAACATTAATCTCTTCAATCAATTATTCGTTTGACACTTCACCTTTTATCCGAATATAAAAAAGACGTTTTTCTTCCGATCAACTTTGAATACGCTCGCAAAAATAACCCAAACTGACGCGAATTGCCTTAACAAAATAAACGCACATAAATTCCGTATTTTTTGTGTCTATTCCTTAAATATCATACCATCCAAATTCTTGTATTCTTGTACCGATAATGTCCTGCTCTATTATGCTTGGAGGCGGCGAAGCGTTGATGTGTATGTATATCATCAAATCACCAATCACAGCATCATTGTTTTTTTAAAGATTGACAGATTACCTAATGCTAACATCTTTTTTTGACTTAGCCTTTACAGCTGGATCATGTGATTCCGTTCTTCAATGCTCACAACGTTCCTTCAAAAACGCATCTTTACCCAACCTCCTTCACTTCATAAAAGACATCACAATCAAATCCAAGGTTTCAAAAATGACAATGGTGGTTGGACTCATCTATGTTCATCGTCTAAAGAGAACCTTACCAGCCACGGCACGTGGTGATTTCGACACGCCATACAAGATCTTTCTATCAGCGATTCTGGTTGCCAGCAAATATCTCAGCGATCATTCACTACAGAATCGTAATATTGCCGATATCACCAATGGATTGTACTCGGTCAAAGACGTTAATACGATGGAACGTAGCTTCCTCGGGCTACTAAAATATGATCTGTGGGTGGACGTGGACGAGGTGAAAAACTTTTTAGATCAACATCGTGTCGAATTAGACATTGATGTCGACTGGAGCTGTGATGAAGAAAGGTAAAAGGAAAGCAGCAGTATTATTGGTAATAGCCGAAAGTATTTACAATGCTTTCGATTGATTATTACAAACAAATACAGCTCGACTGCCACAAAGTTGAAATATACAAATAGAGACATTTTTGGATTTTATCATTATTTTTCTTTTCTTCTTTTATTTTTCACCTACCTCTCTATTATTTTTCACATAATGTTGAATCGCCACGAACACTCACTCACAAAATCTTCGAATTTCGATTTTATTCGCGACCTTCCTTCTCGTTTGTTTCATCTTCCATTTTCATTTTTTTTTATTACTGTTACTTCTTCCATTTTCTAAAAACTTGTTTATAGCAACAGCAATGAAATTTTGCTTCGTATATAATATATATACCTTTACATATTATACATACATACATACATATACATACATACACATATAAATATAGATAATTAATTACAAGAATTTATACAGTTTCGACATAAGTTTTAACTTTCACCACCACAACGATCATTAAATTGATCAGAAATTACTTTTTAATATCATATACACACACATATGCTCTTCTTGTTGATTTTTTTCTTCCCCTTTCCACATCTTTCCCTTTCTAATGCACGTGCACATATAGATTTTTCCGATTTTTTTTTTATTTATTTATTACTACTATCTAATAGACTAATTAATTGTACTAGAATTTTGGAGTGGGATAAAACCTTGTAAACTTTAACGCGCAACAGTTTATGTAAATACCTTTTTTTTTTTTTTTGTTTCACACAAAATCACAAAACGCGCAGCTATTCAAGTGAAACTTAACACATCAACAATATTAATCTTTGCGTTTTAAATTCATATGGGTTTCCTCTTTTCTTCTCCTTGTTCCCTTAATGACTCCCCATCTCCAGATCATTCATCACACATCACTTTCACGTAACATATACGCGTCCGCTCAAAGACTGGATCTTTGTCATGCTCAATTATCTGCGTATATGCATTGTGTGTGTGTGTTGAACCTGTAAATATTAAAATAGAGATTAGTTAAAACAATAAACAACAAAAATTGTATTTCCTATACACCCTTTTTTTTTTATCAACACCAACGACCAACAGATGGGATATTGGCCATATCTTTCTTGTTTGGTCGGTTGGCTGGCATGTTGACCTTGTTTTTCTTTTTCCTTTTTTATCCTTGGGAATGTACGTACATATTCTTTATTATTATTATTATAACCCTTAATGGTTTTTCTTTTTTTTTATCGTTGGCTTTTTCGGTTTCTTTTTAATTATTATTTTTGTTGTTTATTGTTATCATTAATATTATCATTATTCTTTTTATTACCTTTATACATACATATATACTTAGAGTAATGTAATCTTTCCTTCTCCTTTACAACCAATAATAACGAAATAAATACGCACACGCGAAAACTAGCATTTATTTTTTCTTTCACGCTTTTTAAGATTTCGTATATTCTTTCCCTTTCCAATAACACAGAAATTTATAAAACCATTAAGTTGAAAGAATATTGGCTAGATAAACGCACCTTTAAAAACAAATTTCATGTTAAAAATCCACGAAATGTATGAGTTACATATATGTAAACAAATTCTGCGATAGCACAATGGTGATGATAATAATAATGATAATATTATTGTTATCACTAACAAAAATAATAAATAAAAAATAGCCGAAAATTAACGAAAAAAAAAAAAGGATGCAAAAACGTTCATATTGTTAATTGTGATTGTTTTTTTTACTGTCATGATCAAGAATATATTTGGTAAAGCTGTAAGAAAAACGCCAAACAGAACAATCGAAGAATCCAAACACTAAAAAATATCATAAAAAAAGATTTTCGAATTGTCGCGTGGGCATATCAAAAGGAGCTTTCCGCTAATTAGAAAATCTCTTCTCCATGTTTTGCTCCTTTTCATTCTATGAGCTCGCGTGGTTTTAATAGTGAGCTAACTTAAATGATTTAATAATGTATAACACGCGTATGCCTCGCGTGTCGTAGGTTTTATTACTTCACATGACTTACGACCTTATGCGTACACGTATTATATGTAGATTCTCGGTTTAATAAAATTAATTTGTGCGCATTAAGCACGGACCACTTTTTGGAATATTAGAAACTATTCAAACTTCGACGACGCGTTGTTGTGTGGCTGATATTCAATGTTGGAGAGTATAAAGCTGGGGTAAGAGATGGCATTGTTGATTGTGAAATATTTATTCAGAAGAATTCGTTATTATAATAACGGTTTGAGAAGATTCTATGCGTTTTTTTTTACGCCATCGTTCAATTAATGGTTCTTTTCATTTTTTTGAACAATGTTTACAACACGCAAGAGTGCCTACTTGTTTTTTATTGAAACAACGAAAAAAAAGCGTCGACTCAATCTAACCAATTCTAACTTTCCTTCACATGTTGATTGGTTTATTTCCAAGACACACGCATTTACTTGCACCTTCTTGTTGGTGGAGGAAGACACATATACGCAAACAATTTTTCTGTTGGGATTAAGGAGAAAAAAAAATAATTGCAAAGTTCTCACGACGAAAATGAACTTATTTATTTTACCCAGGCTTTATTACACAAAATGCGTCACTCAAAGAACCTTACCCCTTTTCTTAATGCCAACGCAGAGTAAACATACACGCGACATGAGTCAATAGTTTTCGAGCAAAATATTTGGTTACACTTTGATCATTTAATATTATCGTCATAATCATCATCAAAATCATCATAACGATAAATAGCAGCAGCAGCAGCAAGCATCATCGTCATCATCTTTTGTGCATGTGACCATTCTTTCTTTTGAACAATGAGAAAGAACAGGTTTTAATCACTTAAAATATTATGTTTTTCGATCACATGTGTGAGAAATTGGCGTCAGAAAACGAGTTTTTAATCTATTTTGGTTACGTATGTACAACTATGTAAAACATACAGCTGTCAATTTATCGTTATTTGATGATATCCTCTTCAGGGATTCTCTCTTTTCTTTATTGTTTTTTTTTTACTTCTCCACCCCCTTTGTATTATTACCATCATCATCATAATTGGAGGTTCATCTCCTGTTTGAGGCATTTAAAACGTTTTTTTGTTGCTGTTTTCTTAACAATGACAGCATACATGGAATAATAAAAAACAGCAGTAACAAGAGTAACATCTCACTCTTTCATGAATAACGTTATATTTACCACGTAAAAGTGGTGCATGTTTACGTGCAATATTGATTCCTTGGGCTGTGCTTCGCTCAACGATATTCATGTGGTGGTTAACCCAAAATCATGAACACTATTATTTTAGTTGAGAGCGTGTGTGAAACCACCTTTTCGATTTCCCATTGTATTGTTAATGACGACAAAAATCGATCAGATGTCAATGAAAATAATATTCCCATCCAGGAAATCATGTACGTAGAATCCCCATTTTTCATAATGACAATAACAATATCGGTTTTATTTATTTGTAACCTCATTGGATGCTTGATATGCAGGTCAGATAAGAACGCACGAACGCGTTTTAATCTTAGCGCTAGGATTTCAAGCATTTGTCTAGCACAACCTAATTAACTTAGTTACCTAAGCTATCGAAAATTGACTAATAGAAAATAAATCTTGCCTATCTAGGAATTTAATTCTCGCCAAATTATTTATGTTTGACGATTGGTCGTCAAAAATGAATACCAATGCGCCAAACTACTATAATCTACTATTAAACTAAAAGTGGTTAAATCATGACCACGCAATAAGTCACGAGTAACCTGACATTGTCGGTTTTTACATACATTCCCTCTATCGCTATAATATAATTAAATCGGAAAAACCGCACAGTTCATACCAAATCGACATGAGTAACATTGACGGAAAATTTCGATGCATGAAAAATTTTTCGTTATTAGTTTTGAGTGTTGTTTGGCGATATTTAATTGATTGGATTCAGAAAAGAAGAGATGATTGTGTCTCACGCGATATAAAAATTAAAGATAATCAACGCGTCTTTGAGAAATTGATATTATTCTTAAGAATCTGTGTAATTTTTTTTTTTTTGATAACTACCTTATCTTCTTACAAACATGTAATTTGTTTGCATTGATTTTTGGGCGCATAGGTGATTTCTTCCAAATAAATTATTAATGAAAATAACATGTTTACGAGAAAGCATCAGGGTTACAACATACAAAAGTTAGACAATGAAGAATAAAGAATTTTGCTTCCTATTTTCAGCGTACTCTTGTGTTTTAATATGCAAGTTTTGACAGTTCATTAAGTAAGCATTAAAAATCAAGTTTCGAAAAGAATCATCAAAGATTCCCTATTAGTAAAGAACCGTGAAATGCTTGTTTTAATTACCCATCTTTTTTCTTGATGATGATCTGCCCTCTTTTTTCATAGTTGGTGGGATAAATGTAAGTGCCCATGAAATCTCGATATACCAATCCCATATTATATTTCAAGAGATAACGACAAAAATTTCTGGTTTGATTATGCTTCTCGATTTAAGTTTATAGAAAAAAAAAGCTGACAATAAACTGCAAAGCAGATTTGAACTTTTTTAGTTCGTAAACACATACGTTGTGGTTAAACCTAATAAATTTCCATATGCACGTCCCACATAATCATCGGTTTTTACAATGACCTGGATAACTCTTCTTTTTTTAAAACATGTCAATGTTAATGATAGAACCTGATTTGTTGCATCTGAAAATTTTTCTCGTTTGTTTCCTATCGATAAGTAAAGGAAAGATGGGAATGTTATTTTACGAAAAAAAGACTACGATTGCAGACGGATCGCAAAAATGATAGAAATCGACACGATTGTCATCGAATTCCCGTGCATTTTGCATTTATAAATAATCCAAGAATTGAATCGACAAAACAAATAGCGTGTTCATTTTAATTATCGTATTATGAAATGCATTTTTTCAAATAAGGGATTCGGAAAAACAAGATGATCATCTGCATACAGCAACATATCTGACAATGTATGAAATGGATAGCAAATTGCAATGGAAGATTATGCACGTGTGTCTCTATTTAGAGTTGATCATAGGGTTACACCGTTCTGTACATACGAAACAATAAAAATCATAAAATAAAATATCGATAAATTATATTATGCGTATCTTATCTTTACGAAATGCTAGTCTCTTTTCGCGTTCATCCCATTACAAGAATCGTGGAATAATATTAAATGTTTCGTCGATTATTCTTATCGTTATTTAATTACCTAATATCAATGTATAGTAAGTAGTATTAGTAATGTTAAGATGCAGAATTATTCTTCGAGTACATTCACGAGTTTATCAACTCCCTTTTTCTTATATCGATATGATGAAAACACAATGGACATTCTTTGATACGTATTTTCACCAGGTTGAAATGTATTAAATACGATATTGTCATATGCTTGATTAATGATTGGAAGCTTTTTTGGGAGAGAAATGCGCATGAATGATGGAGACGAAACACAACATGGTTTTATTGAATGATGAAGGGGAACCATTAAGTTCTACAAAGCGTGTTAGAAGGTACTAGTTTATCTCCGATTAGATCTCGTATCGGCAAATAAGAAAAAAACTATTTTTATTTGAATTCAAGCGCACGCATCAAATGTTTAGTAGTAGGATGACGAGAATGATGATGATGATGACGATGGCAAATATCATTGATTCCCTTAAAAAGCAAGTTGATTGGTGTTTCAGATCCCGTTGTCCGGGCAGTTTTTCCCGCCCATCCAGATGCCAATCATTTTTAACTGATTGACTCGCAGATATTTTCGGGAAATTCAATGCGAGAAAGCATCAAAAATTTTTGAAAAAAACTAACTCCTTTTTTTCTTCCCCCTTCGATGGGTTTTCTTTATGCGAAGACTAATGATTTTGATACCTATTTCTTGTGTTTCCTCCGATACACGCATGTGCAACATAGTTAATATAACATACTGCATGTATAATCTATATCTTGTAAAACAATTCACGTATAAAAATATTCGAGAATTGGAAAGATTTTCGCATACAAGTACATACATTGGACCTATGCATACGAACTCCCCTTATTTCTATTGCATGATTGCAATAATTATGACGCACGTGTTTTTCAGTTTGACGCATTTTGGGAGTTAACAATGGCTAATAAATATCAATATTTGGGAAAGGGTCCAACGACAACCTTTCATTATTAATGCTTGTGACACGTTATCATGTGTCAAACTATTGCCATTGTTCGCACATTATCTATCATCAAATCCATCCACAAAATCACAAAATGAAGGGATTATGTCTTGTAATGGTATTTTGGGAGTTAGTGGTGTCACTATTAAATTTTCTTAGACTACTATTTTCGAGAAAAATCGACATCGGGACAAAAAATTCATTATCATTATCAAGCGTGGTTATCGTTGTTGTTTTGTTGTTGCAGCTAAATTTAAATCATGCATGTTTCGAGTAAATGCATAAAAAGAAAAGCTGCAATAGTAAAAAAAAAAAAAAAAAAAAATACTAACATCTTTTGACAGTTAATTAAAAATTACCACCATGTCTTTTTTCTCAAATTGATCTTTAGCTTTTGTGTTTTGAAATAAGAAAGGAAATAAAGTATTACAAAAATAAGGAGGAAATTAGTGACGGCTAAATACGTACAGGAGAAAAAGCAAACAAGTCAAGCATTTACACGGGCGGAACCAAAATCTGAAGTATGATAGTAATCCACAAAATGAAATCGAAGGGAACACAAGAAGAATGATAAATGATATGGAGAATCCCGTAAATAAATTTTTTAATTTTTGAGATTTTAGATACGGACTCGTTATTTGGAGCTGATCCTCGATCAAAATATTTGTTTACTTTGCATAGTGTCACACCCAGCCCAGTTAAATTTTGAGATTTCCAATGAGAATTTCCAATTTTTTTTTCATTGATTTCTTTCAGGAGTTTAAGGTTTGGCCAAAAAATAACATACAACCGATTGGTTAGATTGCTGGTCATATTTTTAAAAAAGAAATAATATCACATGCTAAAGAAAAGATTATTTTGTGCATTTTCTTTCTAAGTGCATTATTCGACGCCATAAGATGTAGAAAAAAAATGTTGCACTGCTTTGATCTTACAAAATCAAATTTTGTGTATGTAATGCGGATAATGTCCAAAAATGAATAAGATTAGCTTTATTATAGAATAATGATCAAAAAAACTTTGGCTTTTCCAGAGTCTCTAACCTTTTTTTGGACGAAGGTTTTAAGTATCCTGAAATTATAATTTTTCTCGCCATCAATAGCAATAAAAAATCTGTGATCTTCAATTGCGCAATGTTTCAAACGTATTATACTATTGGAAATCACAAATACCATTCACGCGCATCCCACATAAACCGTCGTATTAACGGTGTTGTCGTTATCGTAATCTACTAGTAGCGCAATTGCGCATAATCAAAAATCAGGCATTTTTTGGTCAATAAGTGGCGATTTAATCCCAATTCACGGTTTTTTAATTATTGATTAAAACCCAGCTTTTCTGTATTACAACGACCTTCATTGATATTTTCTTAGAAGACTTGGATTATGCAAGGGGAGGACGAAATCTGTCAGAAAGCTAGTTTGAATACCTATAAAATGTTTGACTATTCTAAGAGATCACACATCCTTCACACACAATAACAATAAAAATGTGGCACGTATAAAATAAATAAAAATTTTTTCTTAAAACTTTGCCATAACACTTTACACGAGGTGTCAAGAATAAGCTTTAAATATGGGAATGTATAATCACGAAATGCATGTGATATTTACAGTGTATGTAAATCTTTGAGGTTGACATGTTACATTTAGTGTTACGTGTTTCATTTGTTTCCTATAAATGTAAGAAAACACGAGTCTCGCACCACGTATTCGTAACAGACAAAAATTAACAGAGAAACCTTGCTATTATTACCATTTTCAGATTTTATTATTGTTGCCGATAAAATTCGATGAATAATAAAAAATTAAAAAACGTGAGCACGAGATTTTGCCATAATAACAATAACGCCTAAATGTAACTACAATAGGTGGCATTCGTTAAGTTTCATGTTATGGTCAAAGAATCATGGATCCAACATTTGTAAAAAAAAAAGCAGGAGTAGACTAAAATGGCCAAATATGCATCAATGCAAATTTTTATTATTTTCTCGATTTCATTCGCTATTGCTCTTTGCGTTATGAAAAAGAATTTGCCAATCACTTGATGAAAAAATTTTTGTTCGAATATTATTATGAATTTCCATCATCATGCACGCGTGTGACGTAGGCGTTAAAAGTATTTTATTATGGTTTCTTGCTAACATAATTTTTTTTCTTTCAGTAACCCGTGTGATCCATTTATGCAGAGAAATTACAAATTTGTCACAAAAAAACGCCACACGTTACGCTCGAAATTTAATAAAGAAATTAGGCAAAATTTTCGGTAACAAACATGCATAAAATTCCGATAACTTGCTTCCATGATTTCTCAAAAGTTTCAAAGATATCACTTTAAACGACTTGTGATTGACGCCATTTTTATTTACAAAACAGCGTACAGAAAAAAGCGCACAACATTGACGACATTGCATAGAATAAAGATTAGATAATAAATTCAATCAAAAAAGTATACTTATAATTCCTGTATTGGTTTTTACTAGCATTGGTTCTAAACTTAAAATATAGGTTTAGGTTTACAAAAATATTTAACACATGCATTCTTATCGGAATATGTAGTGGGAGGTTGATGTGATATAAATATTTATGAAAAACATGTGCATATGTTATCCAACATTTCCACAGCATACAAAGTTATATACTTTTCTGTCAACATTTACTGTACATCTCATCATCCTGTTGAAAATTAAGATCCCTGCATCGATAAACAAATTTTGGGGATTTATGTGTTGAATGTTAAAATACCAATGGAAAATATCCATTCTCCTTTAATTGATTGATTGATTGATTGATTAATTAATTAATTAATTGTCGATATGTCGTTAAGATTGAATACAAACATTCTTATCTTATACTCTCTCTTTCATACAACAGAAAACAACATCACTATCTAATTTTAAGGAATATCCAACAATGGGCGAAATCTGGTTTTATTTCTCGATATGCTATTCAAATAATCAGGTTTTCTATTATTAATTTAGTATAACAAAGAACACCTTCCATGTACTATGTCGTATTTCAATTTTCATGTTATTTGCTTTTTCAACTGCGTACTGTACATGTAAAAAAAACTCGGTTAAATGATGGTTACTTTATGTATGCACCCGCTTCTGATTCCTGAATATGTTATCTCTTGCTTTTGTTTATTATACACTAAATGTTTACTTTTGGTAAACAATTCAAATGGCAAAAATATTTTCGTTAATGATGCATAGAAAATGATTCTTATTGTCAATAATGGAGTAAATAGAATAATAGGTCGCATTCTTTCTTGTTAAGGTATTGTTGTGATGAAGCTCAAGGGTTAGCAGCGAGTATTTGCATCATTTGTCCACGAGAGAAACTTCCTCCGATGGAAACAATTATTAGCGTTAGTTTTGTCATCGATCAACGAATTTTTTACGTAACGGTAACATTAAAATGCTACCAGAAATGGTAGGGTTTAAAATTATCAAGATTCACTTTAAAAGAACGAAACAAAAGAAACTCAATATAAAATACAATTAATACAACGCCAAGTGCAACGAATATAATTTGCTGCAAGATATCAGTAGAATATTTAGTTTAGGATGTGTAACTATAACCATTTTTACACGAAAGCCTTTGATAAGAACAAACGAAAACAAAACGCGCCAGTTTCACGTACATTATCTGATCCCCGATATGAACATTTCTCTTTACGAAGCTCTCCATTATTTATTAAATATTATTCTTGTCATTATTATCACAGACGACAGCCTTGTTATCAAAAATCTGCAAAACAATTCATCATCATGCTTGTTCTTCGTTTGTCTGCTTTATCAAGTATGCGAGAACTAAAATATTTCGATTTCAAGAAGAGTCATATGATCAAAATAAAATTCGCTATTGCTATTATAGATATGCAGAAAAAATATCGGAGAAACAGCCATTCTATAAACTATCAATTCGCCTATGAGAATAGAGTACGTAAACGCGTACGAATTATTGAATTTCGCATCCCTTAAAACATGCGAATTTGGATGGGAAAGTAGGGTTGAACATCGTATTTTGGTATTTTCTGTGTGTATTGCAGAATCACAGAATAGGATTTACGATTTTAAACACTTTAATGTTTTTCAATGATTGAGATCGACGAGGCGTAACGCGTTTTTAGTTGTTTTTGAACTCAATTTTTCATCGATTGAATTTTTATTTGTATAATGATCTTAAACACAACATCAAAATATGATCTAAAAGTTCCCCCAAAGCAGAGGCAGTGCAATGTGATGCATTTATTTTAAGTATACCGTAAGCCTATAGAATATCATTTAGGCACATTAATCAATTACAGAATTAGAAATTCGATATTAATAAACTAAAACCGCGCCTTTTTAGAGGTTATACTATACCTAGTTTGTCATTTTTAATTACCTATATGCAGTGATGTTCTTGGAAGATTCCAATACTTCCAACAGAACTTCCAATACCCTGTGTAAAAATATCATTGGAAGCTTCCAATTACAATGCTCAATAGCCCAAAAAATTTGATTGGAAGCCTTCATCGCCTATATGAAAATGTTTTATCATGAAAAAGTCGATTTCGGATTATCAGTTACTGTACCAACCATAAGTGAACGAGATGATTTAAACAATAAATTTATAGTCATCAAAATTTGACGAAGGATTAGAATATTAAAGAAATTTATGTAAAATTGTTGCCGTATCTTTCGACTGGACGTATCGGTCAAGGTCTTGGTCCGGTCTTGGTTCAGAAATAACTAGTAAAATGGGTCAGAAACACAGTCCGCATGGAAAAACATGGTGGAAAAAATTTTCATCGTGTAATTAGCCCATTCTTTTCCGAAATGTGTCTACAGCCATCGAAAACTACACCATATATCCTGGTCTGCAGAGTTCTGATAATTGTGATAGAGTCGATTATGAAGTGCTTCAATTTAACGCAAAATTAGCAATAAAAAAGTTCAGCTTAAATAAATACATTGGCAACGATATGTATTAATTTATAAAATAAAATTGTGAAATGCAAATTGAACTTACATTACTAGTAATGGCTCTTATAATTTTTTTTAATATTTCAATTCAAATCTGGATTAATACGGAAAGAAAATGTATCATGTGTTGATTTTTAAGAATATGATGCTCATTTGAATAAATTTTGTAGTTTTCTTTAAAAATTGC